GCTTCAGCTGTTAGGTCAGGCACCAAAATACATTGATAAGGAGAGGTGTTAACAGTCGACTCAGTGACTGGCAGGAGTCTATGTCCTTTCCCCAAAACAAGTACAAATAATTAGCCTTCCTCATTACATTACTTACCAGTTGTTAAAACTTTTGTTTGTCATTTTTTTGTTGTACATGGCAAACAGTGCATCCGTCTGTTCCTGCTCATGTAAACATGCTATGTTGCTTTCATGTTTCTGAATGACATGGCCCTCAGCTAATGTTTTGGACTTTATAATTGCTCTTACACAGAGTAAAATAAATTTTGAACATGCCACCATTTTTCTCATGGAAAATATTTCTAGAGGTGCTATTGACATCACATTTTCACTAGATGTCAGTAACAATCCATGCAATCTATACCTTTAAAGAAATCAAACCATAGATATCCAAAATTTAAGTTATGTGTAATAATTTAGAATGGCACAGGGAAAAAGTATTGAACTCACAAAGAAAGGGAGATGCTAAAAGGCATGGAAAGCCAAGACATCTGCCAAAATCTCTCAGTAATTAGAAAGCAATTTTGCTCTTTTTCAGTAAAAATTAATATCAGCTGGTTCAGTCCCAAATGATGGCCTATAAAAGGTGTCTCTGGCATCACACAAGACAAATCTCTTGATGAGTAAAAGTAAAGACCTTTCTTAAGACCTTTGCAACCTTATTGTTGAAAGTAATGATGGCATTGGTTACAGAAAGATTTTTAAACTTCTGAATATTCCACTGAGCACTGTTGGGGCCATAATCCGGAAGTGGAAAGAATATAATGTCACCACAAACCGACCACAACCAGGCGCTCCTCACAAGATTTCTGACAGAGGTGTGAAAATAATTATCAGAAGAGTTGTCCAAGAGACAAAGACCTCTTGTGGAGAGCTTCAGAAAGACCTGGAATTAGCAGATACAACATGAACATTAAACGAGGGTGGACATTTCATCAAGACAATGACCTCAAACACACAGCCAAAGAAACTCTCGATTGGTTTGAGAGAAAGAAAATAAACCTGCTAGAATGGCCCATCCAATTACCTGACTTCCAATAGAAAATTATGGAAAGAACTAAAGATCAAAATTCATAGAAGAGGCCCACAAAACCGTCAAGATTTGAAGGCTGTTTGTGTGGAAGAATGGGCCAAAATCACATCTAAGAATTGCGTGCAACTAATTTATCCATACAGGAGGCTTTCAAAGTAGGTGTTGGAACCATTTAGGGATTGTAAGACTCTAAGTGGGGGGGTTGCAAGATGACTTTCAGAATCTAATGTAGCCCAAAAAGGTTAACAAAATCCATAACCCATAACAGGATGGTAAAAGCCCCAACACATCAACATAAGCCACTACAGAAGTTGAATTAAAACAGAATTCATCCTGAAACTGTGGGTCATTTTTTTCATTGCAGATGAAAGACAAGGGCCGTGGGAATACCATGGGAGAATCTTTGGTCGTGGTTCTGTGGTCTTAAGTCGCATAGTAACGGTACGCTTGCACTGAACCAAAATGTAGCGAATATTTCTCGTGGTTCACCTGGTTTTGGTTGCTTGACATTTCAGCTCCCTATCTTAGAAGATTCTTGTGTATGGCTAGAAATTGTAAAAATGAATCAGTAAGATTAAATATCAGGATCTACTATCATACAGTAAATCTTTGATATTGTGACAAGTCAAAACTGTGGTTACAGATATGTAATTCAGTTTTGAAAGGGCAAAATTATGTTTAAGACAGTAATAAATATCCAGTTTATTGAATATATCTTAAAATTGCCTGCTGTACTACCAGGCAATGCATTAAACTTCTGCACAGCTGGCTTCGCAACGTAATCAAACATCAGCTTGATGGTTCCTTTTTTCGGTCACATTCACCTGACCTTAACTTTACCAAGAGAGTCACTTTGGTTTACATGGCATCAGCTTCCCTGAATACACCAGATCTTACCCCACTTTGCCCAGTGCTAGCTGCCCCAGAGGCTGTAGCTGGATAATCGTTTGCAGCGGTAATTCACTATATCCTGGATCCACTTTCTAAGTATTCTAAGAAAGTGGAACTGATGTATGATTAAAGACGATTTCCCAGGACTGTATAGGAATACACATCTCAAAGACAGAAGGAGTAAATAAAACTTGTAGACACTTTGTTGTGCCAATTTTGTTTCACATGACAGTTAAGCATGAACTGATTTTTGAATCCCTTGTTAGAATGTGTTTGTTTTTAAAGCCTGTTAAGGGGAGTATGGGAACCCTATAATTATACAATGATCTCCTTATATCATATCTTCTTTCACCTCTTTTCAGAACCCACTCACAACCTAAAATATTATTTTCCCAAGTTAAACAGCCCACCACACCCTGACCAGTGCATTACAAAATGTCAGTGCTGTTACTCAGTGTGTGTGGGTGGAAATATGTGCATGTGTGTTTTCCCTGAGCTCAGCCATACCCATTATGTCCAGCTGAACCGCTCAGCTGTGCCTCTCACATACTGTAGCACAAACTCTTTTCATATCTTACACTCTCTCACACAGGAAGGTTGACATTAAGACCGTCCTACTGAGGGATAAGTGTGTCCCAAATTAGTGAGCATGGCAGACTGAGCTGGGCTGTTTCCAGGGTGGGTTGTTTTGGATGTTGCTTTTAGGGGGTTGGGTTTCTGCAGGGTGCTTAGTTTAGATCCTCAGCAGCACTTAAGACCTGTGTTGGTGTCTTTTTCTACGACTCAACACAAATACATTTGTGCACCTCGGTGAAGAAAGTAGAGGTTATATACATCTATGGGCCTCTTGAGTTGATGCATATATTTTGACTTTTCACTGTCTAAATATATCCTATCTGTTTCACTACCTTTCACACCTATTCAAAATAAATTAATGTTTTTGTTTCAATGCTATATTCTAAGACAAATCACTTGATTTTACATCTTCTAAACTTCTAACACATAGCTGACAAAAGGAGAAATGGAATAAAAAAGTGGCCCTTTTTGAGGTTAAAACAAAAGAAACAATCTGCATAATGATAAATCATTATGCTGATTAAATCAGATTTATCTGTGAAAGTTTTTTCCCCTCTAAAGCAGTAGCATAGGTGTTTATGCTTATAATTAAGATATTGATTTCTGAAATATCATATTGTACTTTGAAACTTTTTTTTCAAGACATTTATAATGAGAACAGAAACTTTATTGACAGCATGGACTTCAGACTTCTTATCATTGATTTTTTTTTTTTAGTCTCATTATTATAAAAAAGCGAACTACCTGATTCTGTAAAACAGAAACACATTTAAATGCTCTGACCTCCTATATAACTGCCTCTGAAGGTTGTGGCATCAATCACACACAACCAGGTAATTAAACCACCACAAAGGATGAGAATAACAAGCGGTGGACTGGAGTTCTTTTTTTATTATTTAAAAATGAAAATAGATTTCAAAATTATTTGTGAAATGAAACATCAGCTCCTCATGCTGATCTTAACAAATATTGTATGTCTAAGTGTTGTATGTAATATATGGATTAACCATTTAAAGTGCTCCTGGTCCATAGAGTGTACGATTGAGAAAAAAACAAATAAAACTCCTGAGGACACAGCCCTAAGAGCAGGAGTCATTAGCCTTTTCAAGGCTTAGAGCTACTTCATCAGCACTGAATCAAAGGAAGAGCTAACAGTACTGACCTATTAACTGGAGGGGTCAGTGTTCACCTAGACTTAATTCATAATAAACCTATTTTTAATGTTTCTGTTCATTTCTAATTTTCTTTTAGGTATTGTCATTATGAAATCTCTATAAATGGAAGTGTAATTAAAAAAGAAGAGCAACAGAATAAAATAAAAGGTAAAACTTAGACCACTGGGGAGTTGTGCTGTTTTCAGAAGATGCTGAGGACACCGCATGTGGTCGTCGAAGGGCCTCTTGATGCCTGCAGCAAACGTGTTGGTGAATCCTGCTTTAGAGTCAGATCTTCTCCCAAATCGCTTGTTATGTGGTGTTATTGACTGAATTATCTTTTTTAATACAAAGTTAAAATAATTGTATTGCATTTTAAGATATTTTTCAGATTGTCACTCCTAATACATCTTTTTTAGTTCAAAGATGCTTTGTAAAGAAAGATGTCTAAATCCATTTACTAGCTAGTTTAGAGAAAAACATGTAAAAACATTGGCTGTTTTAGCACCACATGGTAGTGTATCTAATATTATACAAAAGTTTACTCTATTCAGTTACATGCATCCCTACTTAACATTTGTAATACATCCTAGTTCATCTATTAAAGTTGTGACTTTCAAATACGCTGCATGAGACTCTGGTAATATGCTCCCTTTTTTACTTTCGGGGCCTGTGGTCTCTGCAAAGCCCTGCTGCAGATGGAGGTGTCGTTTCTTTGGAGCCACAACAGGGAATTATGAACAGTTTGAGAAGATATCCCTACTTTCTGATTGCCAACAGAGTTAAGGTTAGGTGCTTCACATTTAGAAGATGTAGATTTTAAGATTTAGAACTTATGATTACAGTAGGTGACCCATCACATCAAGTAATCATATATCTCAATATCTATCAAAAATAAGCTCTTTGTCCTCTTTTTGGTAACTATTAAGATAAATAATATCTTTGTTTCTCTGTTTACACAGTAATCAATTTAAAAACAGACAATCAGACAGAGAGGAGGATACCAATATGAATTGGCTTTGTAATGCTGCTCCATAAGAGTCAAACCATAACAAAAAAATCCACTACATTTTTCTTGATAACTTTTGGTCACTGGTCATTCATATAGATTTTTTATATGAGATAATAAAAACAGGGTTATTGCTATTTTATTTGCATTCAATTAAGAGTGAGTAACCTCTGTTCTCTCTTGGTTGTAACACTTATTCCTTTGATTTCATTTTATTTTTCTGTATGTTCTTCCATTTGGTTCATTGTAGCCCACTGACAAATCCCCACTCTGATATACAGAATATCTTTGGAAAATACTCCATATTTATTTTTTCTGTAAATATGAAAAAAAAAAACATTTAAACCATTCTGTAAATAATACACACATTCAGTAAATGTAGTCTCACAGAGCTGCATACCATAGACTTCTCTCAGAAGACAAAAATTTACAGAAAGCTTTTTACAAAGCAAACTCTCATTTCCAGAATGAACAGTGTCATCATCATCATCATCATTACAATCATCATCACAACAAATAGAAAGGCACTAATTGAAGTTTACAGAAATAGTTCCTTTGCTCTCACTTCTGTACAGATATTCACTTGTAATTTACAAGACTAGTCAAATGGAGGCAGCATTATAAGTCTTTTGGAGAACAAACACTTTTGATAGAGTGCTGCTTTGATCCATGCCCCCGTTACTTTACCCTTTTCTCCATCAGAATGAATGCTCATAGATTTTTGATGAATTTTCTTCCACCATTTAGGAATAACTCTCAGTCTGTGTCTATGTTGCAGGGGTTTGTTCCTGCATTTACTGCTTCAGCATACAGCTTTAAGAAGTCCTTGTAACGTGGCGCACAGCCGAGCCATGGCTCACCGAAATGGATCGAGCCGGTCAGAAGGTACTCTTGCTCTCCTGGATGCACAACGCACGGGGCAGGAACATTAATCCGTCCACTCCATGATCGTCCTCTGGCTCCGCTCCTCATAAACACACCACTCTTCTGATGAAACAGCCGATGCAGAGTAACCATAACCATGGAGTGCTGGTTTGTGCCTGGCATTACATCTCGAAAGATACCCCTTCCACCTTAGATTGGGGAAAACATGGCAAAGGAAATGACATGAAAAATGTACCAAATATGAAGTAACTTAAAAGCTGTGAAACACAACTTTACTTTTCAGATTATCATTAAATCTACTGAGATTATTGTCAGATTTACACTTTCTGAAAGGAAACCAGGGATTTAAAAATGTCTCTAGAACCTCCATTTCACAAAGAATAATCCTCCATAAAGTGAAGAACATTATGGACAACAGTGAGTATCCTCTTCAGAAGATTTTTAGACAACAATAGAGTGTCTTCAGTAAGAGGCTTCTCCAGATCTGGTGCAAGACGGACCGATAAAGAACATCCTTCTTGCCTAAAGCTATCAACACCTACAACATCTGTTTAAGTTACTGCAACATTTAATTTCTCTTTAGGATTTATAAAGTTGTTTTTTTTTTTACAAAAAAATTACTTTTTTTTAATATATGCAACAGTGCCGGCAACAAACATTATTTTATTAGACAGGACCTTTTTATTTTAGCACCTAGGAAATTAACAAAACTCATTTTAAAAAAGTTGCCATTTTTTTGGCACCAGCGTGATGCTTGTTTCATTGTAGAATGGAGGCACCCTTTGGGAGTTTCTTAATGAGGAAATGTGGCTTCTTAAACCCTTTGGCACCTTTGGAAGTAGAATAAACAATCTAAACATTTTGTATAGATATATATTTTTTTGCTTTAAAATGTTTGTCCAAAGCTCAAACTGTAAGCTTAGGCTGGTTCTAATTAGCCATCTTAAACAGAGTCATCACTGAAAATGTGCTTACTAAAATGTTGCGAAAAATAGGAAAAATAGTTTATTCTCTACTGTTCCATTATCTCATGGCATCCATAATGCTACATTGTGGGTCTTATGCAAAATATAGTCAGTTGCATTTTTGTAGAAGGTTAGATAAGAAAGCACACCGCTTTTATGTAAATACTTTAAAATACAACTGAAACAAGCAGCAGAGGCTAAGTTTAGTTAAGACCAAAACTGAACCTTAGTCATTGCTGGTTTTCTTAAAATAAAACAAGAAGGTAAATTAATCATCATATGATTTTTTTTCCTTTGTGATTTGCATGGTTTCTAAGAGTTATATAACTTGAAGTCTGCATCTGCTAAGAGGGCATTCTTCATTGTCTAAGCTTTTACTGAGCAGATTTATTGTATGCTAATGTGTATGTGCATTTACCAAAATCACTTGTGCACACAGCCATGAGGACCTCTTGATCTGAGCAGGGTTTACAGGTGACTAAGACACAAGATGAAAAAAAACATATTAGAAAACAAATAAGAATAAACAGAATAAAACAAGTTAATATACACATAGTTTATATTGCTTCCATGCTTATTTCATTCAATTCAGTTGTTTTAAACTTGGGTTTCAACTAAACTACACAAGATGATTTTTTTTTTTTTGTCTTTCAAATCAGATATTATAAGTCATTTTAATTAATATGAAGGACTTACATTTTCTCAAAAATATGATTGAATATATTGAAATACCTTTGCTCCACTGGTAGATTGAGAAAACGTTAATAACATAAATAAAAAAAAACGTTTTCATTATGGTAAGAAATAGTACCTTAAAGCACCGTGGATCATTTTTGCTTTAGAAATCTATTACCTACTATTCATTAATCCTTTCTTTTCAGGCCAGGTTGGAGATTTGTAGGGAAGAATATTAGGGCAAATCTTAAAAAACAAAACATAATAAAAAGCAATGATATTCAGATGTATTGTACACAAATCAATGATCAGTGTGGATATCAATAGAAAATCCAGAATCAAGATGGAGTTCAAGCATGTATGTCTAAGTTTTATGATTTGCCAATGCTACAACTAGAAAGTGGTTAAAAAAAATACAATCTTTAACAGTAATATAACTTCTAAGTGAAGGCCGTTTACAGCAAACAGTAAATCATCAACAAAGCTGGATAGAGTATCAGAGCAGTAGATCACAGCTTTTTACACATTATTTTGAAAATTCTAGTTGTTTATATATGTTTCACCTTTTTTTTTTTAAAACATATTAAACAACCTTTCCCTTTATTTGGGGGCTAACTGCACATGGCCAAAACTATTAAGTGTTTTTAAGTAGAAGCTGCAACAAGTAGGGATTCAGACCTCAAAGAAAGAGACTCGAAGGAAGGAAGGAAGGAAGGAAGGAAGGAAGGAAGGAAGGAAGGAAGGAAGGAAGGAAGGAAGGAAGGAAGGAAGACAAGGTCTGAATATACATTTTTTATTCATTTCCACTACTTTCTGAAAGAACCTTTTTAGATGCTCACACCTAAAAAAGGATCATGAGATGTTAAAGGTTGCAAGGACTGTTGAAAGTATTAATATCATAATCCAGTATCCTAACAATCTTAGTTTTTTATTTATTTAACATGCTAGTGTAAGGGCCTGCCTTATTTATACTATCAGACCTAATATATAGTAGAATACAAACATTTTCTTCCTTCTCTTTTTTTTTGGCAAAGTGTAATCATCCATAGTTATTTATAGGTAGACAAATAGAATTAGAGTTGACAGCATGACATTGCATGTTATCATTAGAGAACAAGATCACAGTTTGTTCTTTATTAAATGTATTTTTCCAGCTTTCAACCAAAAAACCCAGGTATTCTTGTGGCACCTTGGGTAAATAAAATGTTCCACAACATCTCTTTATAAAGCCAAATTTCCAGTTACATACACCAAAGGCTTTTAAAATGTAAAATATGCTCCTTCATAGATTCCCCTAAGTGCTGCGAAGGGAGACTAAAACAGGCCTATAAATCTGTTTCCAGTTCTTTCTTTGCCCAAGGGTGTTTATCCAAAGAGATCAAAAGAAATAAAGCTTATGTGAAATGAGCAAAGCAGGTGACTAAAACTGAGCAAAAGCAGATTGAAAGGACGGGGATTAACCTTTGACCCAGGCAGCTATAAAAACAGCTATAAAACACCAGACGCACTCCCTGGTAGGAAACTTCACCGGGGAGGATTTCTTCTGAGTCATTTTTAAAAAAAGCCCACGTCCTTCCCAACCGCTCCACTTCACACGTGCGGGTGGGCTGCCCAGAAATTCTGCTTTAAGAAAGTAGGAGGGCACGGGGGATGGGTGCTGATGGCTTTGACTGGCAGCTGAGGGAGGATTGGCTGACCCTTGTGCTCGAGACAGACAAGACTTTTCAGATTGGTCTGTTTGTTTTCAGACGTGGGGCTCACTCTAGGTGGGAGGAAGTGGGGGAGGGAAACATCATGAGGCCTGAGATGAAGAATCTAAGATTAAACAGTGACCGGCTTGCTTACAAAAGTTTTCTTGGGACCACCACTAGTCAACCAACCTCATGTCTGTCAGTGTTCGCTTTCCAAGCGCCACAAGCCACCGTTTTCAGCCACAGAAAGAAACTGCTAAAGATTCATGTCCAAACAACACAAATACTGGATCTTGAAAGAAGGTTAACATTTCCTAAAGTAAACTTGCAATAGGAACAAAAAAACTGGCTAAATAATGTATGTGACTGAAGAAATCTTATAATAATAATGTTAATAATGTTTGTTTACTGCTCCTTCTATTTGTGGATAATTTTTTAAAAATACATCTATCCTTTGAAGTAGTTTAGGTGGGGTTTGGTGATTGTGCAACTTCGTGGCAATAAAAAAAAAAGCTTCTATAGAAATATTTACACTAAACATAAATTGCATTCCATTATTTGTTTACATTTAAGTGAACAAACAACTGACTTTTATAGAAAGTGTTGAAGGATTAAGGATTAAACAAATAGCATCGCTCTAATTTCAGCTTAGACTTAACAAACTAGTTTATAATAAAGCATTGTTTTCATTGCTTAACCTTATGATGGCCAGATAGCCATGAAAGGATAAAAGTCTAATGCATCTTGTAAGCTTCCAGATGTGGCATGAAAATACAAAAAACAATGCAATTAAAACAGTCTGCAAATCAGAAATAAAGCTGCTATCACCTGATCCCAGGTGCAGGAATGGGTACATGTGGGCCGCTGGTGAATGAGCAGGCACCAGCTCATATTGGAAAGCTGTGATCTTCCGGCTGATGTCTGTCTGCGGGATGGCCTCCACAAACAGAGCCCCCTTTTTCATGCTGAAACAGTGTACTCTACCCTGAGCCTGGTCCTTGTCTGAAATCAGCAGCCTCAAATCTCCTTCATGCTCCAGGTACACATGAGAGCCCTGAACATGAAGAACAGGAGAACTGAGCAACAACTTCACAAAGAATAACTTTAAGTCCTACAAAGGGAGCGAAGATTTTTTTCTAAATGTTGACCCACCTGGGAGAATGTCTGAGGCTTAATGCACACATGGACTTCAGTTGTTCGTCCTGATGAAGGCTCTGTGTTTGGTCGCAGGTTGACGATGATGGCCCCTGTGGGGTAGAGCCACTCCAGAGATCCCTGAGAGCACCGAAGGTAGACCTGCTCCACATCTCTGCGGTGAGCTTCGTGGCTCAAACCACTAAAGAGAGGATTACTTTTGTAAGGAGTTATTGTAAATAGATCAAGTGAAGAAAGTGACCAGCATTAACAATGGAAAACATGAAGCCCTGACCTCTTCATGTGATCACAGAAGCATCCAACAAAATAAGAAGTTAAATACTGTACATAGCAAAAGTATTTGTATCCTCTTCACTTTTACATGTTCTTCCTTTAACAGCCATAAACTTAACATTATCATATTTGAATTAAAAGGGATAGCCTCCAATAAAGTACTTGATAATTGTTGAATTAAAGGATAAAGATGTATGCTTCATTTAGAATTTCTGTACAAGTAAAAACCTCAAAATGGTGGCATGCATAAGCATTCAGTCCCAATCTAAGAGTTTGCAGAATATGTAAACCATTTTTATATTATAGATACTAAGATACTTTAGTCTAGTCTTTTCTTTTGTTACCCAAAGCTCATATTCAGCAATATTCAACAAAGGGCATCAATTTAAAAATTTTTATAAGTCTGAAGACATGAATATCCCTTAACCAACACCAAAACTGTTGCATTGTTCTAATTTATCTCCCTGTATTTAGCTTCATTCTGCATCCTATCAAGTCGTGGACATTTATTCCACCACTTTAAGAAAATCCTCACAGTCTGATTCTGCCACCACCGTGCCTTACTATGTGGTTGGTGAGTTTAGAGCATTCGTTTTCTTCCACAATGAATGATTTTGAATGCTGGCCAAAGGGTATTCAATCAAAAGCATCCTATCTCACATGTCTGCTGTTCCCAATGCATGGCTTTTTGTCAAATTATAGGGGGGTGTATTTTTGACTAACCAACCAATCTTGTATCTCTTTTAAAAATCCAAAATTGAAGAGTGCAAAAATAATTTCCATCAGGTAAAGAGGTTTGTGCAGGTGCTATGTGGTTATCGAGGGCAGTTTTGTTGGTTTTATGACTAATTATATTTTTTTTTAGGAGAACATTTACAGTTCGGTTTGCAGTTTTGCTGCATTCCTTCTATTTACAGATGGTAAATATCAGAGGTGTTAAGTAACGAAGTACAAATACTTTGTTACTGTGCTTAAGTACACTTTATAGGTATCTACACTTTACTCCATTACTTATTTTTCTTCCTACCTCTGACTTCTACTCATTACATTTTCACACAAGTATCTGTACTTTCTATTCCTTACATTTTTAAAACAAACGTTATGCGTTACTCTTGGCTTTGGTTTAATGTTTATAAATATTTATCTCATGTCATGTGCGCCATCCAATGCAGATCATTGGCTCCATCCATATCTAGTGAAAACTAGTGTACTTGGATGAGTCATAGAATGCAAACACTCATTGGTTAGCTAAAGGAAATCATCAGAAGCAAACAGGTGTTCTTCAAAATGCAAATGCTAATTGTCTATGTCATGCTACAATGTCAGATTCAGAAAAAGATGTTGAAATGTCTGAAAGGTCGGACAAAGGCGAGAGCGTATCGGGAGATGGAGACCAACAAGACCTCCCTTATCCTTGGCCCTATCTAAAAAAGTTTTCCAAATAGTGGAAAAATTGAGCTTTCAATTCATATAGTGGCATCTGGCTGTTTTTTTTTCAAAGGTTACTTTATACTTTTATACTTAAAGTAGTTTTTGGAGCACATACTTTTTCACTTTTCCTTGAGTAAAGAGGTCAAGTTAATACTTCAACTTTTACCAGAGTGTTTTTAAACCGCAGTATCTACACTTCTACTTAAGTCACAAATGTGTGTACTTTTGACACCACTGGTAAATATAGCTATATATATTCGTTACACAATTAACCTCTACAGTCCTAAAAATACACAAAGCTCAAACAAATATAAGGAAATATTTCCAGGGCTCTAAAATTGATGAACTGAAGTTGAACTCTTAACGAGTGTTGGCAAACAGTTTGTTTCATTTGTCTCCGATATGCACTGATAAAAATAATCTGCTTGATTTACTTAAAAAGTATAATGAATTTTTTTGCCTAATTTTATTAAGTAGATCCAACAAGATTATTCTTTGTAAAAACTACTTATTTTGTTAAAATAAAATTTTCACATAAAGTTAACTTAATTTTAGCATTGCTCTAGTCATTTTTGTGTGCGTTGGCTCTACATAACTTTAAGAGTTCTAAATGTGTACTTTTGTCTGAATCCAACTTAATTTTTACATTTCCAAATTACAAATTTAAGTTGGATCTCCTTTGTTTAAAAACGTTTGTAAGTGTATTTTAAAGTTATATGTACTCAAATTTTCCAATTAGCAATTATTTCTACTGATAGTATAAATGCAAATAGTTCTTTTTTTTATGAGCAACGATGATCTGATAAATATCGTTAGAAGTCAGAGGCTTTACAGCCCAGTGTTGGCTTACATCTTTATGAAGGAGTGATCAAAGGCGCCCTGTGGGTTTGTTTACTTAAGATAGGAACAGACTCACATCCCTGTAAAAAGAGCCTAAAGCATCTGAAAACTTTCTCAAATAATTAATAAACCTCAGATTAAGAAATCATTTTATATCCACGTCTTCAGGGAGTCTTTTTAGATGGGATGATTGAAGTCATTGCGACTCTAACCACAGGCAGTGACGCAAAGGGGCTAGAAGATCTTAACTTTTATTACCAGAATAGGAAATGTTTTTTATGGCCTTCGTTTGGCCTTCCTGCAGATAACTAATCTTAAAAGTGACTCATTTGAAGCAGGGAAAAGGTCGGTGTCAGAAAAATATGAGTAGACGGATAAACTTCAGATGACATGTAATTTAACCATTTGCCAACAGACTCAAGTCAATACACAACAGTCTGAATAATTTAAGACAAAAACAATGCATGCACCTTTCCTAAATGTTAGTAACTGTTTATAAGTGAAGTTCGAGCTCTCCTACATCCTCACCTTCCTCTCCAGCTGCATAGGTCACTGGAGTATTGAGCCACAGCGCGAACCAGCAGCAGAGACATGGCCCAGAGGGTAACCCATGGCCGGAGCATGGTGGATGTCCACCCGGGGCGGTCAGCGGATCCCCCCCAACTCCACAGCGCGCCCCGCTCCACACGAACCGCAACTTTCTCCGCTTCGAAATCCCGCAAAACGCTTCAGCATGAAGCGCGCGAGGCTACATGACAAACGGCTCCAGAGTTGAACCGGTAGCGTCTGAAGTAGGAAAGGCTCAGACCCTTTGGAAGGACCTGGGGGTTTTTAAAAAAGCTGCTGTGCGCACGCGCGGTCATAAAACAGAAGACTAGATGAAAACTTTCTCTTAGAGGTTGTGGGCGCGTGCCAGCAGCCGACTCCGCTTCACTGACACGCGAGCGGGTCGCTCCGGACCCCGCCCCCTCCCAATGATTGACCGGAAAGATAGAAGCAGACACAGCTCCTTTTAAAGCTGGACTACATTCTTAGATAAAGAAGGTGCTCTCAGTGTATTAATTTATTCATTTTCATCAGCATGTGAGATCTTCATTCAAATATAAAAGCCTTTTAAGTTTTGTTTTGTTTTTTTGGAAGGGGTGGCCTCAACAATCATTGTTTCTAAATGGTTAAATTAGTATGCAAGACTACAGACCTATAGGGTGGAATATATGGTTCTCAACTTGAGCTCCTTCGGTGGATGTCTCTCAATAAATTAGAACATCACAGCAGCACGCCACTCAGTTCAAAAAGTTTAAACAGTATTTTATTTGTCAAATATGTCAAATATTTACTTCTGGTTGTGGTATTAAAGCTCATAAAAACAAATTAACTGTAGTAGATTGGCCTTGAAAATGTCTGACCCAAAGCAGCCTGAGCTTTCTCAACACCTCAGTATTGATCACAGATCCAAGGGCATAGGTTTGATTTCAAACTTTGGTAGGGACACTATTTGTCTTCAGTTACTTTAGTCTGATGTCATTGGTCCTTTGCAAAAATATGCATGCTCTTTTATTCTTATTGTGAGCATCAGGGCACATTTTGTTTAAAGAGAATAGCAGCATTTCTTGCTACATTAGTACAATCCAGAACTCCTCAAAAGGAAACGTTTCTGTGTCACCTAGTTTCATTTAGTAAAAAGTCTTCTTTAAGGAACCTTTGGCTAAAAATTATCGACAGATAAATCAATTTGTAAAATAATCATTAATTGCAGCCCTAATTTTATGGTAACATTCAAAACACATTTCCTCCATAATACAGCACTGAAAGGCAGCTGCTTCACCTTGAGGCTGCCCTGCATCATTATATCTGTGTTTCCTGCAATCATATAATGTTTCCATTATACAAGTGCATTTTTATTAGTCAAGGATTAAATGTAATACAATCTTTTATCATCATCCTATATTGCTTACTGTCTGACTTTTTAAGTAGCTCCTTATGCAACAATGCTGTATTGTAAATTATAAACATGTTGTTCACATCAAATTATTGGTAGGGACAAGTAGATCAATTCAACATTTTGGTAGGGACATGTCCCTATGTTCCCTATACAAACCTACGCCCATGCATAGATCGACTTCTGTCACTCCAAATTCATACAGTAGCTGCAAGAGCTTCGATTATTGGTTCATGTACTGTACTGAAACATACAACATTTTATTTCTCAGTAAACCCACACTTTTTATGTTTAAGATCCTGTAAGCAATAATGATAAAATTCAACATCAAAAAGGGATTTGTGAGTGATAGTTTTTGAATTGTGTTTCAGATTAACCTTTTCTGATGACATTCTAATTCCAAAAAAGGGTTAAAAAAAACACTGGACTTGGTTTCCAAGTTTGAAGACGTTTCGCTTCCCATTCAGGAAGCTTTTAATTCAAAATGTGAACTTTGAATATAAATGACATTGTAATTCACTAAAATTTAGTTTAATTTGTAATATAAAGAAGACCTTGTTGTTCAAGCACACTGATCTCAGTTGTGAACGTTTGTGAACTCCCAGACAAAAACTGAAGTAGAGGATCAGATGACAGTAACCATAAAAGCTGAATCTGGATTTGGATCAAGGGATAAAATATATATCAACTTAAAGGAATAGCTAATTAAAATAAGGTTGATAAGGTTAATGGTTGTCAGTAATAGTTTGTTGTTTTTATATGAGTATAAAATATGCAGGATAGTATGTAGAAAGTCACTGTTTTAGTAGGTTTATAGCAAATTCAACATCTCTAAAGATGTTTATATGATGTTACGTTATTAAGGCTCCCTGATATTAGACAACTCTGAAATTATCACATTATCAGCTAAGATTGCAACATAGATATCAGTTCTGATAAATGTATCTTCTTCCCTTCTCTGCTTCTCATTTGTCATTCCATATCTTTTTGTGATATGAAGCATTTTTGATACTGCTATGTCACAAAGTGGAATCTACCAACTCCTTCCTTCCTTCCATCCATCCATCCATCCATCCATCCATCCATCCATCCA